TTGTGCAGTTTGTACCATGTAGTTTGGTTTTAGTAAGACTTTTCCGGCACTTACAACACAATAAGGTCATATAAGGGCCAAAGAATAGAGGTGTTACAAGAGAGTAACGTACACAAAAAGGAAGGAGAGATAAGGGCGATAGATGTTTGATCGGAAAGAAGGAGCAAACCACACCAGAGCGCCCGCCAACCACCCACTTGTACCATGTAGACGCTGGATCGGAAAAGTAAAAATAAAATACCATGTAAAGCCTTCCATCAACACAACCGGGAGATTTGAGGACTTAGGTGGTGAGGCGCTCGCTCGGTGGGATCATTGGGGCATTATAAGGGTTTTACAGCACTTGCAACACAATATGTTCATAATTATATAAGTGCCGAAGATTCGAGGTGTTACAAGAGAGTAACAAACACAAAGAAGGAGGAGGAGAGATCAGGACAGATAAACAACAAAAAACAAAGAGTGATATAATTAAGTACTGGGCTTGGCTTTGGCCTGAGACAAAGTGTGACGTCTTGCGTCACACCCACACAGCTACAGCACACAGACGGCAGACGGGAACAACAAACAAACAAACAAACAGGAAGTTGATAGACAAAAAAACCTCCCCTTGCTGGAACTCCAGTCTTTTGTTGAGAGCCGCGGCAAAGAGCCTTCCTGCTACACCGCAGACGTCAGCGGAGCACGGAACGAGCGTACAGAGACGGCTAAAAAAGGTATAAATTACAAAGGCTACGTGGGAAATATAAATCTTTTTTTTCAATAATAATACACACAACCACCATAACATAGCGAGGAACGTACTGGCAAAAAATTCTCAGGTATTACACAAAAAAAGTACCAAAAAATGCTGCTGCATCACTGTGCATAATCTGAGGTATGTACAAGACAAAGTCAAAGTAGAATATTTTGTCTATCTAGTTTATACCGTAGAAAATGAGACATCGGGATTCTCTCAATGCAGTAACTGATGGCATTCTTATGGGCAGCTCACTAATGCACACACACACATGCACACATACACACACACACACAGAGCGCATATAAAACCAAAAGCCTCATCATACGCAATAACAAAACACAAACTATCTTTTCCCCCCCAGGGAATCAAACTCCCATCCTTTGCGCACAAGACAAGGACCCAATCATTCCACCACACATGTTTGCTCCAACGAAAAAAACAACACACAAACACGTTAGAGCAAAGTAGAGCTTAAAAAAAAGAGGCTGTATCCGTCTTTTCCAAAGTCCCCTCCAAAAGTAATCATAATTATTACAAAGAACCCAACGTGCATCAAACAAAGCAGATCCATCTGGAACAAAAAATTCCCTTCCATAAATTCAATTTAAAAAACTTTTGAGTATAAAAAACACCTGTATGTACAGCAGATTCGCCTTCCCTACATATGTACTTTCATTGCTTGTGGCAACCTCTCACACTTAGAGCGAAAACATTCCAACGCTTTATGCTGTGTCACGCCATTGGACAAGAAGCCCCCCCCCCCCGCCACACACACACACAGGCACACACACACACATGGCCAGTCCTCCACAGTTGACTGATGTGTACAAGTTCAGCAGACGGTTGATTGGTTAGTCTCGCGGTGATGGACAATACAAAATTTAAAATCCCTGCCACAGAATCTCCTCCTGCCCATTCCACGATCTCGCCGCCCCCAGATTTCTTTTCTGGTTGTTTAAAACTCTTTCACTACCACGAGCTGTGTTTCACGGCTCTCCACTTCCTGCCTCAAAACCACACCTACTTTTGTAAAAATCACATCTGAAATCTTAGGCTGCAGAATGATTGTTTTTAGCAGCATGTTGAGATAGGTCATTATTTCCCCTGTATTTCCGTATATAATACATATGATGCGGCTAATATTGAACATTGAACTTTTACATCTTTCATTTGTCCGACGGTAGGCACAATCAGAAAGTAGGTCACAGATAGGGCCCAGTCACGGTGAGAAAACCCCCCTGGTAGTGAAAGAGTTAAGAATGGCAGGCAAAGCCCAGCAACTACTTTGTAACTATTGACAGTTGACAACACAGACCCCAGCCACTTCCTACTCCATGACCACCAGGGACTGTTGTTACTCCAAGTAACTCTGTTTTTTTCCATTAACATTACAATTTTCCGTCAAGACCTCGGAATGTTTCCAGATTAAAATCAACATTGTGAAAAAATTGACCAGGGACAACTTAGTGGAATGAGCAAGAGGACTTGTCAAAGGAAATATTTCAGAACAGTAGAAAAAATCTTTGATATACTGGCTCCAGCGAGGAGGACAAAATGGAAAACAAGGATGTCTGTGAAACATTGTTGATCAACTCAAGGTGTTGATGATGAAAATTGTGGATGGAAATATGGTCAATTGATACAAATGTTCAATAAAAATCGTCAATAGTCACAAACATTCAATGAAAATTGTCAATTGACACAACTGTTCAATGAAAATCGTCAATCAAGATGAAAGGGCAGCAGATCTGGAGGACATTTTGATATCAGTTTGAGAGCGAGTATATATATCGTCCGTCTATAACTATAACATGTTTTTTACAGCACTATTGAGACTGTTTGGTATGAGCACAGAGCAGGCACTACTGCCCACAGCGAGGTAAAGGGGACTGAAGGAAACTTCACGGGAGAGAGAACAGCACTAACCTCTCCACTAGCTCTACTTTCCCACACCATTCTTTCACAGTACTACACTCTCAGTATCTCCCGTAGCGCTCTGTCGTGGAAATCTTTCAAAAGTCAAATTACCCCCCATCACAACCACACTCACAATAACCCATCCAGACACACACACACACACACACACAGCCACCATACTACCCATAAACACAGACACACACATACAATAACACAGAGGGACACACAGACAGCATACTACAAAAGGAAATTCTACCACCACCGTCTTGCAGACTTCCGCTTTTAAAAAACCCAAACAAAAACAACCACAGCTTGGTCCAACAGTAGCTATTTATAGCGCCTCGTCTTCCAGATTACAGAAGGTTGATTTATAAATGCTTCTATGCGAGGGTTTGGCTGTCGACGTCTCAAGGTCACCTGGTCACACCCACGAAGCATCGTCTGCCCCCCCCCCCCCCCCGACACTTGAGGCTAACAAAAACTATCTACTATCTGCACAAAACTTTTTTGTCCGTCATGTGGGGGAGATGAGGGGGGGGGGTCTCGGAGGCATGCTAGAGTTGTGCTTCAAGGTAGAGGGTCAGCTAAAACATCTGGCGATAAAACCTGTCCATGGCGAGATAATCTGATAATTACAGCAGGGGACTGCTCCACTTGCTGTCTTTCTTCCAACCTCTTGGTTACGTTGCCACGGCAACAGCATGCTGCTTAATGCTTCTTTAAAATACAAAAAGGCTTATATAAAAACTCATGGGGTACAAAAATGTTGAGAGGCGTGTTTCTGGTAACCTTGGTGACTTGTCACACAGCGCCTGTCCGACATGAAATGATTCAAGGTGGGGGTGTGTTGTCTACGAGTCTGTCAGCCTGTCACTTAGGTTGTCATGGCAACAAATAGATGTTCAAATAGCCTTTAAAAAAAACCCAAAAAGATTGTAAAAAAACTTACAGCTGTCAAAAGTCATAGGCGTTGTATCAAAGCATCATCTGTCAATCAATACCACTAAATATTCCTTGGTCTTTTTCAACGCACTCCAACTTCAACTGTAAACATCCCTGAAAAATAATAATAGAAAAACAACAACATCAGATTCCTCTAAGAAATTCCTCCCACTTATCTCAGCGCACGCAGCTGGAAGACGCTGCCCTCGACTAGCCTTTACTCGGCGAGGATACATCGGCACTCACTTCACTTCATACAAAATTTCTTCCTTCCTTCCTGACTTCACTTCACACAAAATTTCTTCCTTCCTTCCTGACTTCACTTCACACAAAATTTCTTCCTTCCAGACGTAAGCTGGCTCGTGAATCCACCACTTATCCATGTGAAGCAGGCAAAAATTGTCCGAAAACTCGCCGGTTCAAACTAAGGATACATCCGCTCAGAATCCATTCCATCCAAGTCCTTCTACACCTGAGCTATCCACAAAATTGAACCACTCTTCCATGTGAAGCAAGAATAAAAGAAACTCTTTACACCACATAAAGAAAAATCCACATCTTCTTCCACACCTGTTTGCAAAAGGGACAGAACAGACGTGTGAGGGAGGAAGCGGGCGACGCTGGCTGCCAGTGGGGGGGGAGTCGTCGCTGGGGGAAGGGAACGTCGCAGCGGTTGTTGGCAGTTGGAAACGGTGGGAATGCCGGCTGTGCTGCGTGTCTTATCCATCCTATGTCTGCCAGTGTCTTACAGCCAGACGCAGGAAGTGGGCGTCGAGCCACGTGCCACATTATCATTATTATCGTCATCATACCAATGTCTCCCGAGATGGCAGCAGGAAATAAGCAAGAGGCGACCGTCTGCGCGCCTCATTATCGTCGTCATCATCATACAGAGGTCTCAGAATTGAGGCGCAGCACAAACTTGTTGGCCTTGGGGTGCAGCATCTCCTCCGTTAGGCTGAAGTGTGGGATCTTGGCCACCGTGCACAGCAGCGCCACCGGCCCCTTCTTCAACTGAAACACCATGCGGTGGTCTAGCTCCCTGGTCAGTAGCTGCTCGCACACCAGCAGCCAGCGCTCCGTCGAGCCCACTTCCTGCGGGTTGCCACACACCACCGCGCCCTGCGACAGGTACCTGGCCACAAAGGCCTTGGGGCTCATGTCGTGGGAGATGCAGGTTGCCAGGTGGGACAGCACCGAGTCCATGGTGTAGCGGGGCTGCTGGCGAGTGATCCGAAGGTACTTCTGGAGGGCGCGGGCCAGCGACGGGAACACGGCGGCCGCCGCCTCGCCAGGGTCCATGGAGATTGCCGGACCTGGAGACGACAGGGCAGACACGTGGGTAGAGGTCAGACAGAGGTCATGGTCATACAGAGGTCATGGTCAGAGGTCATACAGGAGTCACACGGAGGTCAGACAGGGGTCAATTTAGTTTTAGTAGTGTTTTACTCACTTGCAACACAATAAGGTCATATAAGTGCTGAAGATTAAAGGTGTTACAAGAGAGTAACAAACAGAAAAAAGGAGGGGAGATCAGGACGATAGATGTTTGATAGAAAAGAAGGAAACAGCCCACACCAGAGCACCCGCCAACCTCCCCTCCACTCACCCTGATCATCGTGCATCCTCTTGATGTGAGTAAAAGCCTCCTCCCCTCCCTCCCTTCCACCTCCTCCTCCCCTCCCTCTCCCCCTCCACTCACCCTGTTCATCATGCATCCTCTTGATGTGAGTAAAAACCTCCTCCCCTCCCTCCCACCTCCTCCTCCCCTCCCTCTCCCCCTCCACTCACCCTGTTCATCATGCATCCTCTTGATGTGAGTAAACGCCTCCTCCGTGGCCACCACCAGCCTCGCCCTCCTCTTCCTCACCCTCCTCTCGTACTCCTGCTCGTCGTGAAACCGGTCGTTGTGACCTTGCTCTCTGCGACCCCGCGGTGCGGCGGGGAACACGTTGCGCGCCCGGTTCTGATTGGCCTGCTGGTTGGGGGCGCTGCCGTCGATGTCGTAGACCTTGAAGGCCGTGCTGGGGTGCTTGCTGTGCTTCTTGGTCACGTTTTCCAGGTACGGGTTGTACATCTGACCGAAAACATTGGTACACTTTAGAGCTACAGTTATATGGGAGGGATATTGAGAGTAAAACATTGGGACACTTTAAAGCTACAGTGACATGGGAGGGACATTGAGAGTAAAACATTGGGACACTTTAGAGCTACAGTGACATGGGAGGGACATTGAGAGTAAAACATTGGGACACTTTAGAGCTACAGTGACATGGGAGGGACATTGAGAGTAAAACATAAGTTCACTTTAGAGCTACAGTGACATGGGAGGGACATTGAGAGTAAAACATTGGGACACTTTAGAGCTACAGTGACATGGGAGGGATACTTACTGTAATAATTGAGGGATATTTACTGAAAAGTATGAGAGATAATTAGAGTAACATGGGAGAGAAATTTACGGTAACATATGAGAAAGCTTGAGTACAGTGCTTTCTTTTCGTATCTCCATTTTTAATAACAGTGAAAACAGTTCATTACATTGAGTGAGCTTGAGAAGAAGTCACATTTTCATTGTAATAAAAAAAATATTTTTTAAAAAGGAAACACGAGAAGAAAGAAACACTGACGTGTCGACCTGCGTACGGTACCTGGAAGTCCCGGTAGTACTGCTCCAGGATGTGGACGGCCGCCCTCTGTATACTGAGCAGGCCCACGTTATAGACGCGCGACTCCCCGTCGGGCGAGCGCACCACGTGCACGGCAAACTGCGGCTGCAGCTGGCGGATCTCCAGCAGGATGATGGCGATGTAGTGGACGAACAGGAGGCTGTCCACCAGGGACAGGGCAAACTGGACAATACCCTGGGGGGGGGGGGGAGAGACAGAGACAACTGGGTCACGTGGCAGACTGCATCATGTGTGTCTTTGGTTTTAGTACGAGTTTTGCGGCACTCACTTGCAACACAATAAGGTCATAAGGGGTGTGAGTGTGTGTGTGCGTGAGTGTTTGTTTGCTGGAGCAGGTACATAAATCATCAACATTACATAATTCATCACACAAACCCCCCCAAAAAATTATTTAAAAAAAAAAAAATACCACCACAAAAAAAACCAACAACAAAAAGAATCACCCCTCTTGAAAAGCTCTGCTCACAGCTTAAAACAGCTAAATCAACAAAAGTGGATGAGTTTTTAAAAAAAACAAAGAAGAAAAAACCCAACAAACCAATGGCACTAGAACCCCATACCTCATAGGTTCCCTGCTTTTCCTTGAAGATGCGCACCCCGTAGAAGAGCCAGAAGGCGAACGTGAGGACGAAGACCAGGAACAGAACCACGGCCCGAAACACAAACACTCGCGGCATGGTCGCCCTGGGCTGTCGACAGAAGGAACAAAATAAATAAATGATAAATTTTATAAATAAATCTAACAAATAAATCAATAAGTAAAAATTCTTTTTTTTAAAAGACGGAAAAATAGATGAACACAAAATCTGTGTTTCTCTCGGTCATCGAAACACTGTTTTCCCCCCTATTACATTTATTTCATTACCATTTGGGTGGTATTTAAAAACACATTTCTGTGTGGAATTGACCGAAAAACATTGATCAAAAGGTACCAAAACAAAATGTAACTTTGCAGTTTCCAAGGACTCTAAAACTTTAGAAGTCGAGAAACTTTGGAGGCCATTTCTTCGTTAACTTTTCCTCAGATACCAGGCAACCACCGCTTCATTTTCTAACAGAAATCTTTTCTACCTACATAGTTGGGAGGAAAAAAAAGAGTGTTTTTCGAACAGATCCCCCTCCCCCCTTTTTTTTGCCAACCACCGACACTGGACGAACATTGGACCGATGTTAGACAGACATTGGACGGACGTTAGACAGACATTGGACAGACATTGGACCGACGTTGGACAGACATTGGACGGACATTGGACGGACATTGGACGGACATTGGACGGACATTGGACGGACATCGGACGGACATTAGACAGACATTGGACGGACATTGGACCAGCACTGGACGGACATTGAACCGACCTTGCGAAAGAACAAGGCCACAGCCCCCACCAGCAGCACCAGCAGCTTGAAGGCGAAGCTGATGAGAAGACCCTCGCACTCGGGCCGGCACTCCGAGTCCTCGGGGCTCATGCTGCTGGCCCGCCAGTCCATGATGTCCAGCTTGGGCAGCAGCACCATGGCGATCGGGGAGAGGAAGGCAATGACGCTCAGGCCCACCGTCAGCGCCGTGCCCACGTAGCGCGCACAGTTCACGCCCACCTGGGGGAGGCAACTTGTAGTTTTTTAAAGTGTTTTACGGCACTTGCAACACAATACGGTCATAGAAGTGCCGAAGACTAGAGGTGTTACATGAGAGTACTAAAAACGAAAAATAAAAGGACAGGAGATAAAGAAGATAGATGTGAGATGGGAAAGAAGGAGCAAACCGCACCAGAGCACCCAGGACGGGTAGGGAAGGGAAGGGGCTTAGTTGTAGTTTTAGTAAAGATTTTTGCAGCAATAGTAACACAAATAGGTCATATAAATGCTGAAGATTGGTTTTGCTAGATAGAAATATCCAAACAAAACAACGAGGAGAGATGAGGACGATTGATCTTTCATAGGACCTGCCAGTCCTCCCACCACCCACCCGTCAACCCACCAGACGACCCACCACCCTCGACCCACCTGTCTGTCGTTGTCCCTCACGGCAAACTTGTCCAGTTCCTCCATGGAGAAGCCCGTCTCGCTGGTGTTGCCTGTGATGGCTGTCGTGTTGTCGCCCCAGTTGTCGTCCTGCGGGATCACCTACACAAACAAACAAACAAAAACACAAACAAATTTACGAATTGTTACATTCAGGGATACCACTAGGATTTTGTGAAAATACCTGAAAATTTATAAAGTTGCATTGGCAAAAAAACAACACCAGTTAGTCGACGCATCTAATGTAGAGTAAAACAAAAAACAGAGGCTGAGAATAACAACTGTTTTTCTCATGGAAATTATGGAAACCAGTTTTCCTCATGGAAATTATGGAAACCACAGTTTTTCTCATGGAAATTATGGAAACCACAAGAAAAGAATGAAAAAAAAACCCAGTACCCCTGTACACATGAACTTGTGAATTGCCTTAGGAGGAGAACGTCTAGTCGTTCTTTTAGTTTTCGTATGAATTTTATGGCACTGGCAACACAAGTGCTGAAGATTAAAGGTATTACAAGAGAGCAACATACAAATAAAAAGAAGGCAGAGACATAAGGACGATAGAAGTTTGATAGGATCAACGAAATCCTCCCCTCCTCC